CTCTATGAGCTGCTGAGAGAGAAAAACAAAACAGTGTTCATACAATGGATTCCTGGTCACTGTGGCATTAAAGACTATGAGATTGCTGACACACTTGCTAAGAAGGGGACAACGATCTTTCACCCAATGAAGGCCTTAATCAGGAGAGACCGATGTCTACTTGTGATTTTGCAAGTTGACACACTTGCTAAGAAGGGGACAACGAGTGTGCAATTCTGACACACTCGCTAAGAAGGGGACAACAATTTTGCAATGCATGGCCCGGCCGATGTCTTTCCACATTAGAGAGAATTCCAGACCTCAAGGTTCAACGAACTCAAAGCTGACAAAGGAGAAACAGTGGACAGTGGCAATCTCCGACATACCTTGGCCAAGAATCGAAGCCGTTGCTGAGTTTAGACTACGTACTAGAGAAACAGTGGACAGTGGCACTCTCCGACATACCCGACTAGCCAAGAATCGAAGCCATTGCTGAGTTTAGACTACGTACCGACGGATTGCCTGGCAAAACACCTTCAAAGATTGGGAGTATACAGTCAAGGTGCAACGAACTTAAAGCTCGAACAAAGGAGAACACTCTCCGACATAGCCGACTGGGAGGAGAAACAGTGGACAGTGGCACTCTGAAGCTCGAACAAAGGAGAAACAGTGGACAGTGGCACTCTCAACATACCCGACTGGCGCCGACTGGCCAAGAATCGAAGCCGTTGCTGAGTCTTAGACTTTGGCCAAGAATCGAAGCCGTTGCTGAGTTTAGACTACGTACGTGACACGGTTCAACAGTGGACAGTGGCACTCTCCGGCCGACTGGCCAAGAATCGAAGCCGTTGCTGAGTTTAACTTTGGCCAAGAATCGAAGCCGTTGCTGAGTTTAGACTACGTACTAGAGAAACAGTGGACAGTGGCACTCTCCGACATACCCGACTAGCCAAGAATCGAAGCCATTGCTGAGTTTAGACTACGTACCGACAGATTGCATCAAAACACCTTCACAGATTGAGAGTATACACTCAACCCACATACTCTATGTAACCTACAGGAGGAAATGGAGAAGTCCCACCTGTCTATGTGACCTACAGGAGGAAACGGAGAAGACCCACCATATGTAACCTACATGAGGAAATGGAGAAGACCCATCTGATCTGTAACCTACAGGAGGAAATGGAGAAGACCCACCTGATTCTATACAGGAGGAAATGGAGAAGACCCACCTGATTCGGTGTTCAAAGGAGGAAATGGAGAAGACCCACCTGATTCGGTGTCTAGCGATCAACCCACATGCCCTCTATGTAACCTACAGGAGGAAATCTGGCGAAGCACCTTCACAGATTAGGAGTATACAATCAAAACACCTTCACAGATTGAGAGTATACACTCAACCCACATACCCCCCCCTGATTCGGTGTCCAGCCCTAAAGACAACGATAGGGCACCTGATTCGGTGTCCAGCTCTAAAGACAAGGACGGAAAGCCAAGGGTATACACTCAACCAACATGCCCCCTATGTAACCTACATGAGGAAATGGAGAAGATCTGATTAATGTAACCTACAGGAGGAAATGGAGAAGACCCACCTGATTAGGTGTCCAGCTATACAGGAGGAAATGGAGAAGACCCACCTGATTCGGTGTTCAGACGGAGAAGACCCACCTGATTCGGTGTCCAGCCCTAGAGACAAGGGAGTCTGATTGTGAAACCTACAGGAGGAAATGGAGAAGACCCATCTGATTCTTAATCTAAGAGAGTATACACTCAACCCACATGCCCTCTGTGTAACCTACATCAAAACACCTTCACAGATTGAGAGTATACACTCAACCCACATATACTCTATGTAACCTACAGGAGGAAATGGAGAAGTCCCACCTGTCTATGTGACCTACAGGAGGAAACGGAGAAGACCCACCATATGTAACCTACATGAGGAAATGGAGAAGACCCATCTGAAATGTAACCTACAGGAGGAAATGGAGAAGACCCACCTGATTTGGTGTCCAGCTCTAAAGACAAGGACGGAAAGCCAAAGATATATACAGGAGGAAATGGAGAAGACCCACCTGATTCGGTGTTCATCAAGAGGAAATGGAGAAGACCCACCTGATTCGGTGTCCCACTCTAAAGACAAGGACGGAAAGCCAGAGATACTGGGAAGCCTCTAAAGGCAACAACGGAAAGCCAGAGATACTAGGAAGCAAGAAGACAGCTAAAGGAAAGCCAAAGATACTGGGAAGCAAGAAGACTGCTAATGTCTGCTATTAATTAACTGCTATATATGTACCCCCCACCCATGGGCTGTGTTAATAACCGCTATAAATGTACCCCCCCCCCCTCTTGGGGAAGCTGAAGTCAAAGATTAAGGCTATAAATGTACCCCCCCCCCCACCCTTGGGGGAAGATGAAGTCAAAGTTTTTCCGCTATTGATTAACTGCTATAAATGTACCCACCCTTCCTTGGGGGAAGCTGAAGTCAAAGTTAAATTGCGAATGATACCCCTCCTGGGAAGCTGAAGTCAAAGATTAAGGGCTAATGATAAATATCATTACCCATGGGGCAAGCTGAAGTCAAAGTTTAAGGGCTAATGATAAATATCATAATGCCTCCAAAGATTAAGGGCTAATGATAAATATCATAGAGCCTGCCAGAGATTAAGGGCTAATGATAAATATCATGAAGCCTGCCATTTAAAGCCTGCCATTTGAAATAAATAAATATTTTAAATATAAATTAAGGGCTTAAAAATTGTGGTGAATGCTGTGTATTAGTTGTTTGAAATTATCAAAATACTACACGCTAATGGATGATGTAAAATATTAAATGATAAGTTTAGAGTTGCACTTTAACAATATCCAAATTACACTTAATACAAACGGAAGCTTTTCTATAGATGGAGTAATTCAGGCTCCACAGCATTACTATGCATGCAGGATATCGCCAATTACGTCCTCCAAACAACTCGTAAATGCCACTCATTTAGTAATTGCGCGTTCATTTTTCCCTTTAAAGTACACTTGCAAAGCACTTCAAACTTTGACGTAACTGCAAGGTTAGTGGTCCTCCGGCGAATTCATGTTGTCAACACTTTTCCTAATTCAATTGGGACTTGACTACAATATCTATCCTCTGCTCCTCTTTTGTTAATTAGCAGCATATTGCAATTTCGTAGTTACAGGAAGGACATTTTAGCGTTTTTCGCTTCTATTTCCAGCTTACCACGCAGTAGCAACGTTTACAGAGGCTAAATGGAGTAATAATTTGGCGACGTAAACGAGGGACACCATTTCAAACGTCTGAGTCCTATAAAATTTACGTCGGTATAATTTATGTTATGCTTATGTGGATTCGCCTGCCCTGTTTGCTCTTTCTGTAGTGTTTTAGAATTTTAATGACATCAAGAACATCTCTTGCAAAGAAAAACAAGATTTTAAAGCGAACTAAGTTTTCTTCCATTTTTTGGCTCTTTTGTTAACTTTTAGAGATGCATTGAAAAATTCGAGTCGAATAAACGAAATGAATGGTGAGATCTCGTAAGTAAGAACTCAAAGGAGAAAGAGTTAATACAAAAAAATTTTGTACAAATAAGCCTTGACCAAACCCCAGCGATCGCTACGGCAACAACCCCTTCTTCAGAATGGCTCCCGAGATTAATAAAGCTGTCTCAACAATGCGTATAGCAACTACTGTAGGTGTACGACACTAACATAGATTAGTCCCTGGAACGCAATTAAGGTTTCGTTAAACATTGCAGCGACTATTGATTGGTGGGTGGCTGAGAGGTCTCTGGGTTTACGTCCGCACTCCCCCCCCCCCTCCTACGCGATAAGTAACACAGACACACCTTTGAGTCTGTATGAATGTGCAAGAAACTTCTTTATTCAGCCATGGTAGGGCTGTGCGTTCCACAAGCTTAAAAAACACTAGTATCGTGAATCAAACGGTTAGTATCTTCAACGCACCTTAATAAACAAATGACTAATTTACCACCTCCGTATTTCGATCTTATGGCTAAAATGGTAATAATAATTCCTTTATTGCCTCTTACAGGTAAAGGATTTTGTGGTCTATTCCTACCTTCCTATTTTTAACTTCGTTACCGGGACTTGGTGCGGAATTGAGATTTGGGCTAGGCTTACCGCATTACCAGTTTTTCCAAGTTACGAGGTACACACAGCTACAATAGTGTACTATTGGGGGCAAAACAAGTTTTCAGCCCGTAGTGATTTTGCTGATAATGTTAGAAATCATTGAAAATTTAACGGAATAGGCCATGTTGGTTGGCCAATATCATGAATAATTGCTCCAATTTCAGAAAAACTAGGAGCAAAAAGTCATTTATTAAAAAAGCCCAACTGATCAGTCTGCCAACAAATTGCCACTTTTTTTATTAAGTTAATAAATTCTACATGAAATTTCAGTGCATAGAATTAACATTTACACAAGTTTGATTTTGCTTTTAAAATGAAGTATTTATAAAACTGTTAATATTTTCCTCTACAATTAAATGGATATTCCAAACCTCAGGCAAATTAAGAAGAGGAGGAGTTTGGGTTCTCGACGCAAGAAACTTTGAAGGTTCAATTCTCCAGTTTTTAGCAATGTCTGCTTCATTAAATTGAGCAATTACCTAAAAGGGAGTTTCAATTTCCCGCCTTTCCGCAATGGCGAAATTCTTTTATGCCGAATCAATTGTCTAGAGTTCGGTAGAGAGCATTTTATCCGAGTTAAAAAAAGGGCCTATTGGTAACTTTTTAACCCCCTCCCTCCTCCTCCCTAGGGAAAAAGGTAGAATAGTAGTGCCTCATCAAGGTCCTCTCTACCATGGTAACACAGGGCGCACTATCAAATTAGTTTTTCAAACCAAATGAGAAGACGGCCATGGGGGGTGCTGTTTTTTTACGATTTGGCTTGAGTCTTGGTTTCCAGTTGTACGATATTTACCAACTGGGGGAGGGGAGGGGGGGGGGGTTGCTCACATCCCGGAATTTAAATTTCATTTCATTTCCCTATGATCTTATTTGCTCATTGACCGATTTCGTAATCAAGAAGGCCTTGAGTTGAAGCTTTAATTAAGTATTCCTTCCAACGATTAGGAAGATTTTCAGCAGCTTATAGTCATGATATTGAAACGGTGTGTACTCAAATTGCATAAATATTTGTGCCAAATACATCCTTTAAATGCGTTTCCAATAAAAATAACAATTTTACGAGAAGTGAGTTATGGTCATTAACTTATTTCCAACTGTGAGAGGTGTGCGATAGACTTACCTCCACGTGGTGCGCCCTGGGCAACGTATATTCATACGGCAAAAATAGTCTGTTAGCCGGCAGTTGACTTCCTACTTCAAACTACCATCACCCCACTCGATGCCATATTCGACTATTTTACACAGTACTCACCTCACCTTTGTTCTACCTTTGTGTTTGTCTCTTTTACATCTTTGAAACACTCTTTTGTTCCCCCCCCCCTCTCGAATTTTTTCAATTTGATGTTCCTTCCCCTCTGTGAAGCCCGAAGTCAACTATAGGGCTAATGATAGCAATCAAGACGCCTGCTATTTGATATAAATAAATTTCCAACTGTAAACAGCGCTCAGCTCAAAATTTAAATGAGAGGCGCTTTTTTATTGTCAAGAGACCTGATGACCACTGCGATAAGGGTGGAAACCCAGTGTCAAAATGGAAGAAGTCCCAAGTAGCCATATTTTGCTAAATCTGATCAAGGGATAAAAAGACTGCTTATAGCAAAACAACAAATCAACAAAGTTAGCGACATTGACAAAGAAAAACTAATCTGACCTTAACAGTTCATTTAGATTATTATCGTTATTGAATTTAGATGGAAAGCAATTGCATGGTTGGTTGGTCATTCCGTTAAACTTAAGGCCGGATTTATTTGTGTGGCCACTAGGAGCTCGGAGAGGGTTCGAATGCAATCAGCTGATTCAAGAAGGGCAGTGGGGCGACGAGTGGTATTCATGAAACGGCAAATCAACTGCTTGAGGTGATGCCTATAACAATGCCGAAACTCCTTTTTCTTTAAATAATCACTATATGAAATTGTAAACCAAACGCATGATACACTACGACCAATCCTGTCTTACCCTGAGAGGCCAATGAAAACTAGCTTTCCCGAGGTATCAGAGCTTCTCCATTTTGTTTTAATGAGACGATGCACTTAAGTTACTTTAAACAGTCTCCACCCCCCCCCCCCCCCCCCCCCCCTCCCCCGCCAAATCCAATAATACGTACGCAGACCTCTTCTCTCCCTCTGTTTTCTATTACTCCCTCAAGATTCTTGCACGCAGGCGATCAATGGTGCTTTCAACTACGTGGAACGATAACGTATTTTGAAATTTGTCAGTTCATAATCATAATAGTGCTTTTAGGCAATGCGTATAACCTGGTTCGGTCACAGTCAGCTTCGATTGAGTTCTTTTTCACTGTCGATAATGCAAGCACAAGGCGAAAAGAGTTCAGATCACATCCGTGCATTTTCAATAGCTAAGATGAGTCAGCTCACAATGTAAGAAATACCGTTAGAATCGAAAAAAATTTAACAATTGTCATTTTATACAACCATTTTATCAGTTACTAAATTGACGCTGTGCTAGTTGAGAAATCTATTTTCGGATTGGGGGTGCGCTAAAGGCTAGCCTCCACGTGGTCCACACTGGGCAACGTATACTCATACGGCAAAACAAGTTTATCAACAGGCAGTTGACCTCTGACTTTAAACTACCATGACTCCATTGGGACATATTCCACCACCTCCATGGTATTCATCTTACCTTTTCTCTGCCTTTGTGTCTGTCTGTCTCTTTTGCATCTGTGAATCGCTCTTCTGTTCCCCACCCCTCGACTTTCTTCTACTTTGATGAACCTTCCCTCTGTGAAGCCCGAAGTCAGCTAAAGGGCTAATGATAACTAACAAAAAGCCTACCATTCGATATAACTACATAAATTTTCGGATTGATGAAATGCCAAGGTAGAGTGGTTCAAGAAACTGTTGGCGAAAGCTATTAAAGAAGCCGAATGAACCATCGTGCAATGCGCTCATTCCGTGCAATACGATAAATTATTTAGTTTTTTGCTCGAACACACTTCAGTTTGCATATCCGTCTTGCTTTTTTTCCTCTGGGCTCTGATAACGGCTTTACCCTGGAGCGTAGCATAAACAGACCCATTTTTTCTCAAAACTTCGCCTTATGCCCCAAAGATATTCCATTAGACTTGCAGTTCGCCTGCCTGACACCACCAATTTTTACTAAATGAGCTGGGCATATAGAAATAAACGTTTTACGGGTTGGAAAAACTGCTTGCAGATGTGTAAGAATGACTACGGGTGAGCGGGGATTCGGTGCGTTTACGAGATGGCTTGCATAAAGAGACTAATGCACTGTGTAGGTCCAAGGCGTGCTGATTAGCTACTAACCGACTCAGAGACTGTTCAGACGCATTTGCCTTCTCGTAGTTCAACATAATCGCGGAGTCTGGACAGACTGAGGAATGATGGCAATTGGTTGGAATAATGTCCTAGCTTGTGGTGAAGGGCTGCGGTCATCTTGATTCAGTGGTCGCTTCCACCTACTCATTGCACACATTGTGCTTCTTAATCTTTACTTCCGTCTTTACATACTAGCTTTCATTTCTATTTGGTAATTCCAGAAAAATACCTAGTTCTACTGCACTTCCTGGAGTCGATATTGAGAAGAATGAAGCGGTCCAGGAAGATTGAATAAGTGATTGAAAGTATGGTGAAAACAACAGCTCTGTCATAATACCCCCCTCCCAGCCTATAAAACCAAAAGTTGAGGGAGAAAGAGAGAGAGAAGTAGAATGCATCATTGAGTGTTGAGATGACCGATTTGAGTAGGCGTTTGATTCACATTGCCCTCAATCACCACAAGGAAGCATTTTAATGAAGCTCTAAGCGCAAATAATAAAGGAGAGATTGAGGGCTAAGAAATCACTAAAATGTAAACGATAAGTCGATGCCTCATGTTGTTATCCATGTTGTTCGAGTACATAAGTGCAGACGTATGAATAAACTCGTGAGTGGATGACCTAAATAAGAATAAGCGATAATTCCCGAGTCCCTCTGATTCCATTGGCTCTCATATTGTACGCGTTCTTCACACCCAGTAGTCGAAATCTGGCAAATTTTTATTCCCATGAACTAGTAATTAATGTCTCACTGCTGTTCCTGTCCGTCTGGTTTGTATTTTTTTCACTACAATCTCATGTTTACACTAGTATTTGCACAAAATGGTGCAATAACAGTAAGCATCTCCTTCCACAAAAACCACAAGCGTGAGTATGTACAGTCATATATTCTCAACATGGGGTGTCCAAAAGACTTACCTCCACGTGGTGCACCCTGGGCAACGTATATTCATATGGCAAAAAAGTCTATTAACTGCCAGTTGACTTCTGACTTTAAACCACCATGACCCCACTGTACGTCATATTCGACCACCTCCACAATACTCATTTCAACTTTTCTTTGCCTTTATGTCTGTCTGTCTCTATTACATCTGTAGATCTCTCTTCTGTTCCCCCTCTCGACGTTTTTGTCACTTTGATGTTCCTCTTCCTCCTCTCTGTGAAGCACAAAGTCAACTAAAGGGCTAATGATAGCTGTCAAATCGCTTGTCATTTGAAATAAGCATATTCTTAATATTATTTAAAATACTATGGGGTGCGCGACAGACTTTCCTCCACGTGATACACACTGGGCAACGTATACTCATACGACAAAATAGCAGTTGACTTCTGACTTCAAGCTACATTGGGCCCACTGTATGTCATATTCGACTTCTTCACGGTACCTAACTTACATTTTTCTCTACCTTTGTCTGCCTCTTTTACATCTGTGAATCACTCTTCTGCTCCCCCTCTCGAAATTTTCTCACTTTGATGTCCCTCCTCCTCTCTGTGTAGCCCGAAATCAGCTAAAGGGTTATAATGATAACTATCAAAATGCCCGCCATTCGAGATAAATTTTAAATATTATTGAAATGAATGGTTTGAATCAAGATACCTCCAAGTTCAACGACTCGGAGTGAATGATAGAACCAGGTCTACGTTGCACTTAAATTGTTTGATCAAGAACTCACTTTCAAATTTCAAGAGATGTTCATAGTGAATTGGTTCCAATTCATGAAGTCCTGTTTCTCGAAAGCTTGGCGATTAACATGACGCACCAAACAGAAAGACCTTAACGCCACGATCAGTCTACTAAAATTCCTGCGGAGAAAAAACGTTTTTGCCCTCAATGTGTGCCTGTTGGATTCTTTTATTCATTTCACTATTCAAAAATTACTCGCATCTTACAACACATTGGTTGTGAGACGCAAGGTGACCACAGAACCAGAGCAGTGGAACTTATGCAGTCAGCATATTCAAAGTACGTATATGCATTTTTAAGCCTTACTCTACCCTTACTCCACCAACTCTACAGGCAAAATAATTTAATAAAAAAGACATCACCTGCGACTATTATCGGTACATTGGTACATTAAACAAAATAAAGGCACAACCGTCAGTCAGCTATTTTTTCTCAAACAAATATCAGAAAACTCTTCTCAAATACAGGTACAAGGGGGGGGGTGGGGGGAGGGCGGGAAATCGGAATTAAAATATTTATAATGCACGGCGCTCTTCAAAAAAGGTGATATACCACCTTCTTTTTGGCTAAAAAGTACAACAAAATAATTCCTAATCATAGGATTGTCGATAGGAACTACTGATTAAATTTAAGTGGCAATTACTGGACTTAATGCATTTGTCGTTGGTTTGGAAGGGGTTGTGACACAACCTGGCATTTAGGATGCGTGCATGAATTCATATGTTCCGGCCAATGCAATTGTTGGCAGGTGGTATTGCAATAGACAGTATTCCAGCAGCAGTAGAAGAAAGCTTCATTTCCACAATATGTACACTACATAGACAAATCAACAAATTTCTCGCATTAAAACCTCTTCTCCATGTGTGTATCAGAGGAGAAAATAGACACTAATTGTGGTAGGAAAAAAACGTTTAGCATACCCATTGCTTCTTCTTCACCTCCTGGATCGCTTTACTCGCATCCTGACTGCAAAGCTCCACGATACCGTCGACTATGGCGTGAGTCTCAGCCTCCCAAACGGCACGGAGTTCGGATAAATGATCACGGTGGTTGCTTGCAAGTTCAAAACGCGTATACTCCTTTTCTAGCCTTGCACGCTCTAGCTCTTGGGTCAAGCGTAGCACTTCTGCCTTAAGAAGCGTTTTCTCTAGACGAGTGCTTTGTAGAAATCGTGTGGAAACGACAACACAATGGGGTGTTTGAGTACTATGATCGCCTATGTGATATAAGAGAAAAACAATTATTAATGAGAGGTTAGTTAAACGTTATTTCATAGAAGGCTTGATGGAGGAATATCTCATAGATAAGACAAATTACTATGAAAGGACGGCCTGGGCTGTCCAACTAATCAGACGGTCAATCATCTGAACGAAGAGAGGATATAAAACAAGCACCTCAGCGTCTTTTCGCTTTCCTCTACGGACGTTCTATACAAGTGATCTCGTCTGGTAGAGCTATTTTTTACTGCTGGTACTTAGAAAGATCATCAGATGTGAGAGTTGCTTCAAGATGCCTCACTGGTGGAAGTAGTAATAACCCATTCAGTAAGTTATAATAAAGCACCTGAAATGATTTGCTCCCAAAAACCTCCCCCAAAATGCATCGCCGTTCTCAATTCCCACAAACTCGACCCAGACCCTATATGAAGCCATCCTTCAAGAAGCTTTTCAGTTCCAACAAGTTCAAACTTTTTTAGTAAACATAGTATACACTGATAGCATGCCTTCAAATTAATCTCTCTTGAAGTTAAAATGAAGCGCATGCAACGGCTGGGATAATTTTCAGCCACATAAACTTAGAAACGATGAAAATTAGCCGAGAATCAGAATTAGTAAGTTTTGCACGATTTCTTAAAGTAGGAGAGGCTATGAAGAACGGTTGATTGAACAATTACTAAGAATACTACTTAACAAGGATCGCAAAAAGGTATAACTTTGGATAAAATGAACTACTTGAGGCAAAATATCATGCGTCATGGCTTTCAAAACCGTCTACGAGAGTTCCACAGGTGCAGCGGTTAACATGGCTGTCTACGAAAAAAGAATTCATTGATTCGATGCATATCAGCGCGATCAAGCGTAAGAGGTAAAAGTGGCTAATTAGATGGGTGCAACTTCGATCACAAAGAAGGATTTATGTTGAAAAAAACTTTCGGAAATAGAACAACTCGTCGTCTAAGCAACGTGATACTCTTACCTACTTCAATTCAGTAGGCATATTGGAGAATATTGTACAACTGAACTCACTTATTGACCTAGGGGGAACGGTTAAGTCTGGTTCAGAGGCAGCTGCAGAGGGACCGCGACTGGAAGATACAGCCACATCATTCACAGTTTCCTCCAGATTCTGAAAGAGCCCATCCAGCAGGGATTGAAAATTTCTGGAAAATGAGTCTCGCGCTTCTTGAAAGTGGGACAAAAGATTTGACCTGAGGTCACTATGAGAGAGACTCTCCGACAGACGAAGAGGCAGGGTGGAAACGGACGATTCACTGCTGAAGCAAAAACTTCGGGAATTAAAAAGCGAACGACGAATCGAGACATACTATGATTGAAAATTAGGGACATACGATGCAGGAAACGTTTCCGTATAAGGAGTATAAGCAGGCTCATCCGTGATTTGGTGTTCCACTGACATCACTGCACTAAAAATGAGGGGAAAGGTGAGAACAAATCTCTCTCGTACATCACTACCCACCGGTCAACACTCTCGCGTGCAAGAGTCAGAGTATTAACCGAATTCTTAAATAGAAATGCTTGGAGTTAGATTAAGATGAGAAGGAAACGAACATAATGACATTCATACAGCATGAGAGGCATGCAACAAGGAGAGCAGGTGGGGATAGGTAAATCGACAACAGTACCTTTAGCAAAGCTAACCCGCCTGAATGAAATAAAAGAGAAAAATAGAGATGGATACGATCTCGTGTGGTTCATAAATAAGAGTAAATGTGAGGTGCAGCTATTTTTAAAAAAATCCGACGGCTGGTATTTGACGCACACATACACACTCATACATAAATACCAGAGCTAAAAGCTATTCAAGTTCAACCGTGGTTGCTAAACACAAACGCCTCTTTTAGACAATTAAAGTGTGAATGGAAGTGGTCATCAAATAGTGCTGTCGACGGAAAAAATCACATGCTTAAACTTGCACTTGGCACAAAACACGTTCACATTTTAGTCGTCATCGCAATGATAACTCCGATGTCAGAGAAATCTTGCCAATAAATAATCCAAAGAAGTTGGCAGGAAGTAACCACCTGATACCGAATTCCCGATTTCTCTAGACCACTTGGATGTACAATCAACTGTCTGGTACAGATAACTCAGAAATGGAATTCTAAATAAAAGATACATCGACTTTTAAACTGGGGATACTTACTTCGCATTAACCTCCCTACGTGGATCCCCAACATTTGAAAGTGTTTCTTTAGGAAAAGATGGTTGAGCAGACCTCTCACTTTCAGTAGTAGACACAGCCACTGTAGTTGCCACGGGTGGTCGATCAGAGGTAGTGACGCCAGTAGCAGTTGTTTGAGAAAGGCGCAGCAAAAGAGGTTCGACAAGGTCTTCTGTATCGTGGTTTCCAGAAACTGTCGTGGTAGTGGTGGTTGTTATAGTAGTACTAGTTGCGGTTTTGGGGGAATGGGAGGGAGGAGGAGACACAGATATAAGAGAGGGAGGGAGAGAAGGCGAGGAGGGTGGACAAGGCTGTTCTATTGTTAGGGCGGAATCTGCATCATCACCATTTGGTCCAGGGGATAAAATAGAAGGACCCACAATAGAAGTACCTGTCGATGGCACAGTGGAGCTCTGCCCGATATCTTGAGCCTCCCGTTCAGAATTCGAAAGCAGCCCGTGATTCTCCAAAACAGGAGCCCATCGATTTAAAGACCTTAGAAAGAAATATTGCGTTTTATACACACTAGTACCCAATAAAACATATATCTACCATGTCAGCCAATGAAATACCGACAACTGTAAGAATGCCAATTAGCTAGTGTCATGACAACGCGAATACCAGAACTAATTCGACGTGGTATGTGAAATAAACAGAGCTCAAACGTCAAAAGTCACTCACTTGTAATACTTAACGAGAGATTGATGAGAAAAAGGCAGAACACGAGTTGCGGGAGCCGATGGAAATCTGAATTTCGGGAAAGTATGATAAAGAAGGTCAACATGGTGTCCAAGTTGTTTTACTGCTCGATTAAAGGCCCCTTCATCTTTGGATTCGCCGGCGTTGACCAGTCGTCGAATGCCGAATCCTCCTAGTGTAGAGTCACTGCCAGAAGCGGTCATAGAGATATCAAAACAGGTGTAAAGGCTAACACACTTTGTAGGAGCCTTTCGAATTACGTAGGTACCGAAAAAGCACACAAGGAGCTGACTGTTCGGCAATTCATCCATTAATTTAGCCGGCCATCGTTTCCCGTCTTCGTATCGAACCCAAACAATGGGATGAAGCACAGGCTATAAGGTTAGGTAAAATTGTATTTAACTCCGAATATCATTTTTAGCTAAATAGAATTGAAGGAGGTCTGTGAATTTCTCTCCAATTTGACAAATGACGCATATTTAATTTTACTGAATGTGATTCTTTGTATCAAATTGTTTTTAACACCGTTAACTAATTGCATGTGACTTCATATCACGAATGCTGAATCATGGGTATTAGCCCACTGGCCTGAATTCAGGATAAAAATAGACTCTTGAAGGACAAAATCAAAACAATGCTAGTACGCATATAATTCCAGTGCAAGCACATCCAAAGATAGCAAAATAAAATAATCAATTAAACGCTAAATGACAGTCTAATTTATTCAGGTTCAGTGTTAACCACAACCCGATAAGCGGCCAATATATGAACTCTCCACGTCTCCTAAAGTGCACCGACATATCGATTTTTTCCCGCTATGAGAGTTTCTCCTGTCTCGCCCCCTCTCCCCGCCCTGGCATCTAAAGACGTCAAAAGATATTCTGTTTTTTTTACATTCTTTCGCAAAAGTACATGTAACATTCTGAAAAGAACTTAACTCCATAAAAAAAGCTACACATCGAACTATATCAAACCTAACTCATCGAACAACGGAGAAAAAAAGAATAATAAAATAAGTTAGACATTCAATAATGACCCAGCACTATCCATCCTACAGCAAACAGACATCCTTGTCGGATAGGCGAACCAATCAAGACCCAACTCCAACTAAAAGACATGAACTTGGAATTATAAGCATAATTCCCACTTGCGTAAATGAACACCAATTAGCCACAGTCGTAGATTACAAACCACCTTAATATATTTTTGGTTCAATAGACACATAAACTCAATATCTAGTCAACCATAAACAAAAATAGTTGATAAATTTCTTATTTAAATTCCTTTGAAGTAGCAATGAAATTATGAAAATTTATCACAAATTTACAGCTTTGTTTTGCTTTCTCCTTAGGAAATTATAGGTAGAAGCAGGTCCATGATTCGTCATCAAATACTCACTAGACTCGTGAGCAGACTCGTTATTTTTGGCGTGAATTCAAACATAATACATCTTAAATAAAGAATGGGGATGCCACTCACGCAAACTTTGCAAAACCACGAGCTCTGATGGGGTTCAGGAGGAATTGTTTTCAGCATCGAACGACCATAAATGTGCGGATCACATTGGGAGATAGGTGAAAAGACGAAGGAAGTTGAAGGAAGCGTAGACATATGGTTAATTCGATTAAGGTAGCAAGGTGGACAGGCCCTCAGTAATGCCAACTCATGAAGACAAATTTGCTCGAGAAGTTTGGCTTTCGACAAAAGGCCAATCTCTAGAAGTAGGCAAAGAGGAAAGGGGAATAAAGGTTGTTGAGGGTTCTTGCAAAGTAGAAAATGATACCGCGAAATTACCCGGTTCATCCCTAGGTGGAATGCAATTAAGAACGATCCAGCGAAAATCTGAGAGAAAGGATTTCAGTGACCTGCATTGGCCATCATTCACTTGCTAAATAGAAAACATCAGACCAATTCAACAGATGAAGGCATAGTAATTAATAGTAGTCTATAAGAACACGCTATAGCAGAAAATTCGTTAGTGGTAAAGTACAAATAGACACTTTCTACGCTATTATTCTACAACATTCAATGAACTTTACCGCAAACAAGATTGGAAGAAGACGCAACAAACTGCAAAAGATTCACGTTTATAAGAATATTAAAGGTTTAGGCTATAAAGTGATTATAGGAAACCGATAACGAGCATTCCGGGTCACTATTCGTCACTGAACCCATTGTAAGAATATATATATATATATATATATATATATATATATATATATTCCGTTATATATATATATATATATATATATATATATATATATATAACGGAATAAAGAGTTTACTAAGAAATATAGATTCAGGTAGTCGGAGACATAGAGTTCCAGACATATGCTTTCAATCAAGTTCAAACCAATGTAAGCAAAAAGGGTACTCATTTAAGAAAAAGACTGATTGAGTATTGATCATATCAATAGTAAAAGTTGATAGAAAATATTACTTGATAGAGTGTACGAAGATCCATTGGATGTCTGACAGACATACGGACGGCAAAGGTATCGCTAACGTCAGGTGGTTCTCGAAATGGTTCAGACTAAACGTACACAAGATCAATCAAGAGGAAATAAATAGCACCTACCCAATTTTGAATAGACATATAGTCCACCATGAAGCAGAGGATCTTTTTGATCTGTTTTTCATAGATCGTCTTTGGGATACTAGCCCTCCATTTAATAAGATTCGTTTCAAACTCCTCTTTATCACAAGTAGCAACTTCATGGCACAATAGACATCGCCAACCTTCTTCCCAATCAATATTTATCTTTTCGATTTCGGAACTTTCAAGACACTTTTGGTGGTAAGCTCGTGGACAGTCACTACAGGGTTTCAACTGTAAAAAAAATTGAGAAGGAAAGTGAAGGAAAAACACAAATTTACCTCCTGGCCAGGTCGACGCTCCTGACAAATCCAGCAAAACTTCTTCCCACTTTCGTCAGATGAACCGGAAGGTCGACGGGTTTTAATGGTAGGCAATACATTAGAGAAGGAGGGAACGAGAGCTGGAGTATTTCTACAATCGAGCCAATCTGACTGATTAAGTTGGGAGATGAGGGAAACTTCGACGTTGAAATTTGGTCGACTACGTTTTGCAGGGGGAGATGTACACTGATCTTTTGTAGTTGAAGACGAACTCTTCACATTAGGAGTTGATGATCGATTTTTAAAGTTTAGAGCGTGAATGGGGGTTCGGATTCCCCTATTCGAAACTGGAGAGAAAAGATTCAAGGTGCTAAACCAATGCATGAAAGAAATCGTAAAGCAATTAGTAAAAATTGCGTACAGGTTAAGGGCGTGATTCTCGTCAAACTAGGTGAAGAGTTTAAAGCAGAGTTTAAAAATGGAAATAATTAGAGTAACGTTCATAAGGGTAAAAAACAGGCGTAAAATCGATATCGCCTAGTTAAAAGATACTACATTTGATCTAATGGTCACTTTTAGAACCAAGTAAGTAGGTGTTGTCACACTCCTGTGGTAGAAAATAATACACGACACAATTAATAAACTATTACGGCCACCCATTATCAAAAGTATTTCTTAAAACTGACTGCAAGTCAACAGGGGTAAATAAAGGTTAAAAACAATATGATAAGCATAATTATACCAAAGGTTTTCGAATCCACATATAATAAAGAAACCACAACAAAAACGCATAAATTACCCGACAGGAGTAAATCCGGCATATGATGAGAAGGATTTTTCATTGAATCCTATAATGAAAGATAAATAAGATCAAAATCAAAAGAAGGTTATTATGAACTTTACACAGGGTGAGGAGCATTAAATGATAACATTTTGTCAGTAAAATTGAGCAACTGAGCAAGAGCTGAAATGGATAATTTACATTCGACGATCGTGTGGGGGTTCGCAACTTATTGCCACTTCTTCTACCAGAACTTCGACGGGAAGGCATATTAAGTTCTGGAAAAACAAGCACAGAGAGAGAAAAAAACCTAGACGTACATGGAATACAGTTATGGTAGATAAAAAACCTTTAGAAAGATGTTTTTCACCAGTAGAGTTTACAGATTCTTCTAAAAAAACAAAAGAAAAAAGGTAAACCAAGGAAAGCAAAGTACCAGAGGAGCTGTCATCAGAAATACGAGGGCGAATCAGGCGACGTTTGGCCTGAGAGCCTTGACAATAGCTAAATAAAAAGGAAAAAGGCGGTAATTGATATTTATTGTAGTAGTTGCAAAATAATACCAGATTCGAAAAAATAAATTTTCAATTGGGGAGTTTAACAAACACAGCACAACGATATCGCATCTATAGTAGAAGGGCATATCAATAGCAATTCATAGTTTTAATTCTGCAAACCCTCAATTTCGATTATGCGAGGATTTAAAAAATTCAATAAAGATAGAAAATGGACAAGCAGCTTTAAAGTGGGTTTGATTCAAAAAACCTAAAAGACTTACGAATTTGATTTTTTATTCATCATACTTTTTGTGAAATAGAATTAAAATGCGTGTCATTAAGCAGACAAACAAATGAACAAGGGCAACATTGTTAGTGAAACGGTTACACTACCTTCGTTACAAGTAGTAAACAGTTAAGTCGTTAATTGAGATCAAATAACCTAACACATTCAACCAATCAGTCACTTGAAGTCACTTTTGCTTTCTAAAAATAAAGGGGCATTTGATTGAATTCTATTACAAATGAAGATTAAGAAAATTGAAATTCATTAATGTGAGAGTAAACTAATTAAATTTGTGTCAAGACCTACAAAAATGAATTTGATATAAACGGTTAACTCACTCAAAATAATTTTACTATTAGTTCCAGTATTTTCCAGTAATTTACGCGAAATACTATACTTAAAAATAAATATGCATGATCATGGAATTCCATGCCTTGTTTTAATGGATAATCCGGAGGCGGTAATTTGAGCGTCTCTACTCCGCTATCGCGTGAGTGTCAGTGATTTACCCCAAATACGTATTTGACACCAATTCATACTCAATTATGTTGATTTTTTGCTTTAAGCTTTATATGTTACTTTTGTACTACTTTATTTTCTTTTAATATTTTGTATGTAGATTCATTTAAATGGAAGGAAAACGTTTAACAAAAAGATTAAGCGAAGAAAACGATGAATTAAAGCGATATATAGAAACGTTGAACAAAGAATGCATGGAACTACAAGCCGCTCTTTTCGAAGAAGCAAATAAGATGGTTTGTCATGTTTTAATGCGACATTTTTAGACTCAAACTGCTTATGCAGCTGAATATGCTGCTAAAAAACGTGCTGATGAATGTAGCAAAGAAAATGAGGTAATTTATAATACTTTGGCCTTGATCCCCTTAATTTATCACGCCAGGTTCTTAAAAAAGAGGTCCAAGCTCTGAAAAACACTCTCAGGTTACACATAGAAGAAAATTCAGACGTTTTCGCCGTCCGGAAGTAAGTTTATGTTCAATCTAAATGTCTTTTACTGTACATATCGGAAGTCGCTAGTTTCCTGCATTCTTTTCATAAGCTACTCTCCGCGATTCACGTTTTAAATTTTATCTCCCCCTCTTTTTAATAGATATGCAGTAATCTCCTGGATCCCTAAGTTTGTTTTATGTTATGTATTATTTCGTTTTGCAAATTCATGTGGCACGATTGTTTATAGATTTACATGTTTTTGTTTTATTTATTCTATAAAGATGCCACTACCTTGGTTTGAATGTTATCCTGGGTAGATATCATAGTTTGGACTATCTGCAGCTTACATGCATCTACTTTAGGCTATCCTTCGCTGATTATGTTGCTGCTTTATAGTATTTTGCATCCATTTTCCCTATTTGAATATGTTTACTTAGTTTCACTTTCTTTCGCCTAAAACAATTTACTTTTCTGTAATTTTTACTGGACTGATAGAACTGGACTGACCTCAAGAAAAAACAGTATGAAAGCTTAAGTAATTAATTTGTTTGTTAGCTTTTTAATTTTATATGCCTACAATTCTCACTTATATGAAAGATTTAATTAACAGAATTTGTCTGGATGTCGCAAACTATGCAGTAGTTAAATTATGCCATCAACGGTGCAATTTGGTTTTCCTTGGTCAGTTATTAATGATTATAAAATTAGTGATTGGTGAACATTTGTACAATCGTGAGAATGAAAATTTTCTGGCAATCCGAACCATTCAATTAGAATTTCAACTCAGTTAGAGGTGTAAAACCAGCTCACAGTGAATTAATTTAATTCATCTTTTTCAATAGGTATACAAATTTAGTCTTCCAGCCAAGGCTCCATTGCTCTCTTTGGAGCCCATTCTAGGAGGTTAATATTATTATTGAGGGTTATAAAATACGATTCCTTTGTTAGAGTGCAATTTCATCGGAGAGACAATGTAGGAAAATTGAGTCTGCATGAAGATTTTGTTCTCTTAATTGTATGCTTTATTATTGTATCTCGTATAATTACTATTCATCGAGGTCATTTGTGTAATTGGCTTCAATAGTGCACGCTGGAATTGTCATTAATATTATACGGCGCTGCCTCTTCCCAAATTATTCACATCCGTTTAGAAGTTCTAATTTATTATTACAGTTTTCAATCATTCGGGAACTTCAATTAGCCATACACGCATTTTGATTGAAATCCATTCATGATTGCAAGCCGATGCTTGAGTGCGCGTGCATTTCTCTGCTATCTACTTTGCTTGAGACTTTTCGGTCTTTGAATATAGTGATTTGCCATGTGTGCTTGAGCATATGAGTTTTCTACCGCCCTCATTCATTTTACCTGCTTGTGATTGAATTTTTTTACGCTTAACACCATAAAGTTAATTAAATATTGATAATCAGTAGTTGGTAGTTAATCGCCCCCCCCCCCCTCCGTTGCGGAATCAGTTGTAGGAATTCGAGTTTAACATCTGATTGGTGCTTGTTCAGTTTGTGTAATGGTTTAGATATTTACTTAAATTTATAAGAGGTCATCCGGGTTATTAATTTATTCATATTCAATCATATGTAATTAATGAGCTATCGAGTGACCTCATTTAGGGTCATTTGTCCTCTCTCTATCTCTCTCTCCCTACAACGCCATAAGATGCGCTGTGACGTCGACTTATTACTCCTTATTACACACTTCAAAAAAGTATTATTTATAAAATTAGGACGACAATTTCCACCACCTCCTCAAGTTTTTGTGCATGTTGCGATTTAATAGTTTAACCAATTTTAATTAAAACTTGCCTTTTCATACATTCATCTACAACAATACGCTCACAAAGATGTGCTGATATTTATAATAAAAGATAAAGAAGAAGAGTAAGTGAAGTCCATTTCATTAGGGATTCAAATGAGATCGAATTTGGATCAAATGGTTTTAACCCTTGCTTCATGCGTAATATATCTGCACTTTGCTATTTCAGATCAGTGTCCAGTGTAGTTACACCAGAGATAGAGGAAAAAACGAGGAAGAGTAGTTTTCGTCGTCTGAGCTTCCGGCGAAATTCTCTCTCTTCCACCCTTCCACCTTCAGCCAATGGGAGCTTCCATGGTATTGATCGGTGTCGATATAGCTCAACCATCTCGAATAGCAGTAATACAGCCCTCGTTATTAATGTCGCTTCACAGGAGCCAGTTACTCGTCGACGTCTACTTGATGCCCTCACTTCTAGTGCCGTATGCTCTGAAACAGTAGCAGAAGAACAGTTCCAGGTGACTATATTGCATACTTCTTAAACTCCATATCTGGGTTCTTGTTGAGAAATGTACATTCAAAAATTCTTATATCAACCAAATTGATTAGTGCATATTGTTAATCTGTAGGAAATGAGCCTACAGAATTTAGCATATTAAATAATCTCAACGCCAAATACGTCGTAAGATTCTTTTCATCCACGACGACGGGGCACATTTGCCTCATTCACACTGCAATGTGGAGGTGTAAAAGACATGGGTGATTTCCTCCCAAATCGTGCTAATAATTACAACTAAATGATCATATCTGTTGAAGTTTACTGTTTGTGTTTATAAATGTCTTTGGCGTGGTAATTTCAATTCCTTTGAATAACTCTACCAATTTGTCTGGATGTGGCGGACTTGTGACCCTTCCAATGTTACGATGTTACAGTGGAACATTTATTTCACACAAGGTCGCAAGAAATATTTGCCTGATTTACCTAATTTATCAAAATCAAGACCTTTCTAAATCTTATAATTGGTAAAATCTTTCCCATCCAAAGTTATCTCACAAAAGTGAAAATCAAAGTGCTCCAAATCGGCTGTTCAATTTCAATATTAAAAGTCTTCTGTTTTGCGAAGTTTTACCGCATGAAGTGAAAAGTATTCAAGATCCTTCACAGGATGCATCATCCTTAGTAATCAAGCTGAATATTTGTCTTTATTATTTTTTATTTTTTTATTGAAAAATATCTCGTCATAGTTAGTAGCTGCTGCGTAAGTAGCCTTTGAATCAAAGTAAAATACCTATGCCTGTGATGTCATTTCTTCCCCCTTGAAAAGAGATGTAATTCGAGACGAGAAATGATGCATTTGTGTGCTCATTTGATGGGTATGTGGTCTGGGTTCTCCCCACTTAAACCCACAGACTACGATCCACGTAGTTACCTCATCTGCTTACTTGGAATAGTTGTCTTTACTTCATTCTTGCTTGAACTCTGATCTCAAGTGGTGCCTCAAATTATTCATTGTTCTTGATAATTCTTGCCTCCAATTCAGTTTCGAATGTCTGCTTTCGTAAATGAGATGCATTATTTCTCATTTTTAGCCTTCCAAATCGCGAATTTTGGCCTGAGTGCTCGTTTTAAGCCTAATTTTGTAGACAAATTTTGCTTTAACTTTGTTTATCCTTGCTATTCGAATTTTTTCCTCTCCTTTGACTGCTTAATATTAAAAAGCCAGTAACAAATGCCTCCAAAGGAGGTGGTAATGCTATGGAGCGATGAACTAACGAATGTGCGACTCTGGAATGAGGGTTTTCTCACCACTTTCAGCGCGCATCAAGATTAGCGCACAAAGATTGTCGCAACTCAAATTATACTATATCTGCAGGTTAATGCACTTATATTTGGTACAAAATGTGCACCACCTCACAACACTCTTGTCTTTAAATTCTTCTATTGTCAGTCTCTCTCTTGTTGACACACTGATTGTGGAAGTTCTGCTTATAAAGTACACTTTTTGTTTTTTTTTATAATATATATCTTTGAATTTCTAAGTCTGGACTTTGATTTAAATCGTTTTTTTTAAGAAAGGAGGAGATTCACTCTAATCTCGTTTCAATCAAGAAGCAATTAAATTAATTAAATGCGATTGAAATCAATCCTCGAGTTTAATGAGCTATTAAAATTTAAGGTCACACTCTCCTGATTCTTGAGTTTGCAGTTGGGGTTTGACAACCGTGTAGAGAGCTATTCTCTATTTTACACCCCATTACGTGCTCGCACCATTTTCAAATGTTTTTTGCAAGTATTCTAACATTTTTTGTGTAATTTATTGCAAACTGTCAAGAGGTCTCTTGTCATTCATTTCACCGAAGCAGATTTGATTCCACTCTGATTTCGCGTTTAGTGTTGATTTCCCTGGAATCGAGTTGAGAGGTAGATAATTTCCATCTTACTTCTTCTCTCCATCGATTTCTACTTCCCGTTCTTTTAGAAAGAATGCTTGATTTACGACTAAAAATTAAGGATAATAAAATCTGATGGAGAAATTTCGCCATGTGGATAAGTGATGGAGAACATGGCTTTCATTAATATAGACTGAAACACCTTTAAGTCATTGGAAGGAAAGGCAGGCAAGGTTTCGAGAAATTAATTAACAATAATGGATTTATTGAATATTCAAATGAATCAATGGTCATCTATGCAGCACCTGCCATGCCATTTTCAACCAAAGTTATTGTTTTTGTTGAGCCTATCTGTTTCGATGTTTGTGAAATTGATATAATGCATTCTGTTTACCTTTTGTAAACTTTCTGATCACATGAGCGCCCCCAAATTTGCCATAACAAACCGCACTAAATGATATATTAAGGGGAGATACATTTGAGCCCAATCCGTGGATGTTGTATACTTTTACGTTCACGGGGTTTCCTCATATGACCTTGACCATTTGTACCCACAACAAATTAAGTATAGTCCTGGCTGGTTTTTTTGCTTTTCTGCTTTATAAATTTATTCTCTCCACTTTCTAATCCAAAATGGAAATTAATGACATTGACGACATTAAGCCTCTTTGCATGTCACTTTGTTTGACCAACTTTTGCCCGTTCATTTCCATGCTTCAAATGTTCCACCAATGACATAGTCGTTTCCAACTTTAAGGTACACAAGGACTCTTTGTTCGTTCTGCAACAAAGGCAATGCCTTATTTTGTTGTGTCGTTGCCTGTCTCAATGGCTTTAGTGACCATTGCCACAGCAGTTATATTTTTGCCACTGTCCTGTGAATTTGAGCGCAACACTTCAAGTCACTTCGTCTTTGTAAGGTCACGGAATTTTGCTGGCCACATTCGCAATGGAAAGCGCACAATTTTTTTTACTTGCTGGTATGAGCTTTCTCTCAGTGGTGAATCACGCCTTGTGTATTTGACAATTGTTGAAGACGTGTATCCGCCAAAAGTCTGACCACGTTTTATGTTCTTCCTCTCTCACACACACGCACACACACACACAGAGGCTAAATAAGTTCCTTCTGAAAATGGAACTACATATGTTTGGTTCCTGCTGCTAGTGTATTCGGATATACATAACCACAAGGAGTCCTGAAATTTGGTCGGAATCACACACAAAAATTCGTACTTCTTCGTTAATGGAAATCCCTTAGAAGGATTTAAACCCCATAGGAGATGAAACCAACGTGGGTAGAACAGATTGCTCAAAATGTTATTATCTATTGAAAACTTTGTTTGAGGTGACACTTCACTTCACCATGGTATCTTTAACGTTGTGGTGATTTTCTTTTGATTTGCTTGATGCAAAAGCAAATTTTCTTCGTAAAGCTAACGGGGTTTTCCGAAAATCCGCCCAAGGCGGTTAAACGGAAAATTCAATTTCATGGGGATGTGGGAACGTGATTACGGAAAAAAGCGATCCATTTCATCATATTTAAACTTCGGATACTTTCGTTTAAAGATTGAATTCTTCACATTCGTATTTTCATTAGGCTTCTAGTTCCGACTTGAGCATTTGCACGATGATCAGAATTGGTTGACCATTCGATTCGGTTGTTCTTGTAGCCTGTCTCAAGTACTTAATGAGGTTAATCAATCAATTCTGATTAAAAACATGTCTCCTGTCATTTCTCTGAAGGTTTTAATTTATTTTTAGTCAAATCTCAATGAGTTTTTAATTTGGACTTTTCCTTGTTCACAGTCTTAAATTTAAGCAGGTAATATTAAATCGAATTCTATCAATTGAGCCATCAGGTTCAACCGAATCGAGCCATTTGACCTTTTCATATCTTCAGTCTACAGGTTCCGTTGGTTTTTTTTGGTTCTTGAATTAACTGAAAAGTTTTCTTAAGCAGTTTTTTTGAAAAAAACGTCTGTGTTTTCGTAGTTTCACCGAAATTTTGGCTCCCCTTTCTCCCCCCCCCCCCCCCCCCCAGTTACGAGNTTCCCCCCCCCCCCCCTCCCCCCAGTTACGAGAGTCCGAACGGGAGGAGTTAAAAGAATTCGCAAAATAGTAGCTGGTTGGAGAGTGGTTTTTGGGTGTTTATTTATGAGGTCACATTTAAGGTGGAAGCCAGATGATGATGGCCTGTCACATGTTTCAGTTCACGAGAGAGAGAAAGTCGGGTTTAAATCTTGAGGATGGTGAGCCTTCCCCCCATCCTCCTCCTCTATGTTCATTCTCACACGTCGTGTTCTTTGCAAGTCACTTCGCGCATACACACACACGTGTTCGCTCACAAGTTTGGGATTTTTCTGCCAATTATTTTTCCACCAGTATTTTATCGAAAAATGGCTTTCTACTATGGAGGAATCCTGAAAGCTTTTCCACAATAAAAGCGCGCTTGTTTATTTACTCCAAGGCAGACGAGTTTGTCTTTCGTCGTGTAGAAGCACCGGGATATATTGATCCAGAAAGCAATTCAATAGGGGGGGGGGGGTTAGAATTAAAATTCCAGATTAGATTTTGGGCATCAAAAGAGTACCCAGATAAGTCTTTCTTTTGATCCTCTTTGGGAGCCCTTGACTTTTCAGGTGTACCTCATTCCTTCGTTTTCCCGCGTCCAAATATAATTATTTGTCGTCAGTTTCAATCGTGAATTTATTCTGGTTAAATGCAATGTACTGGCACGACTAAGGATTTAGCACTTAATGATGATCAGGAAATTGATTTATTTTCAGGTCAGCACTTTTCTTACTTCTCTCCGTTTTCTAAACGTTTATTGAACTAACGAAAAGAAAATTGCAATGTTCAATCTTGGTACTGCATACTTCTCAACTAGTAATCGTTGACTAACGTGTTACGGCCAATCTTTTCTTTCATCGAGTCATTCCATTGCTCACCAATGAAATACATTTTCGAAATTTTAAAGAAATTATTTTTTAACCACTTTGCCTTCTCCTTGGAATGAGTTAGCTCTTGGAGCGGTTGATAAAAGAATTGCATAAAAGCAAGCCCAATTCAGGTTGTGCATGTGGAGTATATTCACTTATTAAAGTGCTCATTTTCCACCATAAATGAA